ATGTATGCATGTGTGTGTGTGTCTGTGTGTGTGTGTTTTTAATCATTTTATCCGAAGCAGGTCAATAAAGTCTCAAAGACACCAGGGGGGTTGAGTGTTAAAGAATATGAGACAAACTACTATTAAGGAGAGATGACAATAAAAGAACAAGAATTAAGAAGACAGAAGATAACAATTGACACTGCATTTAAATCTTTGAAGATCAAGTAGCCAAAAGAGTGTTCTACAAGCGAGAAGTGCAATAGAAGAAACAGTTAGCATAGAACCTACGATTATATCAAGCTATTTTAACTGTAAAATGAATAGACCTTGCTGCCAATCTCTCTCACTCTCTCTCACTATATATATATATATATTTTCAAACCTAGTGAGCCAGACAAACCTACCCAGGTTTCGCCTGAGCGGATTGTCAGGGAAAGCTGGCTAAAGAGGCAAAAGAGAGACGGTATATTTATATATATATATGTCGCCAATAAATATGCCGTTTCTCTTTTGCCACTTTAGCCAGCTTTCCCTGACAATCCGCTTAGGTGAAACCTGGGTAGGTTTGTCTGGCTCACTAGGTTTGACTAGGCCTGCTCTATGGTTGTATTGAGCTCTTTTGTTAGTTAATTGTTTACTCATGTAGGAGTTTTTTCTTTGGGCTTTGAACCTGTATCTATGCAATTTTTTCGAGAGACTTTCATGTTTCTAGCTCTTTCTTTTTTTAAAACCTTTTTTCCTTTGAGATTGATTTGATTATTGGCAAATCAAAAATTCGAAGGTTTTTTGAAACACGTATAGTTACCTATATATATATATATATATATATATATATATATTGAGGCAGCATATCTTCATTCAAACATGTTTCATTGAATAATTTAGACATTATCTCTAGTTATTTCTATACTGATCCTTTCTAGTGTAAAATGGAAAGGATTAGTATAAAAATAGACATAAGTCTCTATTATTCAATGAAATATATATATATATGTGTTTCATTGAATATATATGTGTGTGTGTGTGTGCGCGCGCATGTGTGTGTGTGTTTGTGTGTGTGTGTGTGTGTGTGTGTGTGTGTGCGCGTGTGTGTGTGTGTGTGTGTACAAGTTAGATTAATGAAGTTACTGCTATTAATCTTTTTATTCAATTTTTCTATCATCATATAAGTGTTTTCTTTACTGGACATAAAATGTGCAAAAATGTGTTTGAATGTTCTTTATATCTGAGCACTTTCTGGCTATTCTATTAGCCATTATCAAGAATATATACAACATTTGGACAGTTTTTACACATTTTATGTTCACCAAAGAAAACACTTATATGAATGCAAGAAAAATTGAATAAAAAATTAATCATAGTACTTTATTAGTTATCTTTAATAAAACTTGTATAAAAAAAGAATTGCTGTCTAATTGCACACTTCACTCCCAACCTCAAATAGTATACATACTAACCCACAAAAAGGCACTTTGCCTCAAACGCATACTGGGTCTTAAGCCCACTTCTGACCTAAAATGGTATACGTATACCTGCATGAACCCTAAAAAAGGCTCTTTGCCTCAAACACCTGAAAATCATCCAGAAAATACCTTACTTCACCTGTCATGTTATATCTTTGTAACAGTCAGATCAGATCAAGGATGGAGTATTGCTGTCGTATCTGGGCTGGTATTACTCAATCCTCACTGTCTCATCTCAACAGTTTTCAAAAGGGATTACATAGCCTTGTGAATGACGAATTATTCTCCACCCAGTAAACGTTATCCCACAGACAATATATTGCCAGCCACTCACTACTATATAACTATTACTATTGAAAATGTTCAGATGATTTAAATTCCTTAAGGCTACCAGGTCACTTTCACAGCTAGGAGTTGCCACTGTGCCATGTTCACAGTGGCAAACCATTCACATTCTCTTTGTGTTTCTTTTATAAAAAGCTAGTTCCACAGAGACAGCTCCTGCCACAGAACAGTTAGTTTGTGGAAAAAGTCCCAAGAGAATGTTTCTCAGACAAGTACAGTCCAAGGAAAGTAATATCAAATTATATAAGCAGTTAGTATTTTGAAATGACACTTTTCAGTATCCTTTCCCACAATTACTGTTTATGAAAGATACAGTATATAGTTGTTTATTGCAATCATTTCAAACAGAGTAGTTATAGAAAACATTCACATCTCTCATGCACAATTAGCAATATTATGATCCAGAAAATATGCAATTCCTGATACCATGCTATATCTATAAAGGCCAGATTCATTAGAAACACTAGCTCAAACATTCACACTTGCCATGCTGCGTTCACAGTGGCAAGCCACATTCCCTTTGTGTTGAGTAGTTCTACTCAGACAGCTTCTTCCCCAAAACAGGTAATGCATGGAACAAACTCCAAATAGGATGCTTCCTTGGCAACTAAAATCTTGTTCTCTTTAAGTCATGAGTCAACCACAATCTATCCTGCTCGTCTTCATAATTCTCCTTCCCCCTTCATTAAAAAAGTAACCCTCTACTTTGAGTGACCTTTGGGAATTGTACTACTTGAACTATCAGTAAATTAAAAAAATAAATAAAATGATGTCTATCCTATCAATGAAAACAACACAACATAGAATTTTAAATTTGAAACAACTTCTCATCTATCAAAAAATTCTGATGACGGTAAATAATTAGTGAAACATATTAAATCTATACAGATTATGTACACATAAAATTTATATATATATAAAGGCTTTCCTACTTGTTTCCTACTGTGGGTGTTGAATAAACACAAATGTGCCTGAGTGAGTGTCTGCAATAGGGATTGGCTAGCCACCCTAGTATAAAGATATCCTCGAATACAAGTGGCCAGCTACTTTTTTTTTGTATATATGTGTTACAGGGACTTTCAACTAACTTTCAATTTATTCATACTAATTTCATACTTTAGATTTTATAAAATATAAAATTTCTTGAAAATTCCTTAAAGCAAATCCGTTTCATTAATAACAAATAAATTATTTCCTCCAAACAAAGAACTGAATTGGAAGGTGAATTTTCTTTCTTTTTTTTTCTGCAAAATTCTATTACTTAAGCTTGATTATGAAGAATAAATATTCAATGACGTTTTTGTCAAAAGAGACAATATATTTGAAGGAACAAATAAAAATCTCTTTTTTTAAAATTTTTTGGTTCCTGGTTTTCATGAAAAAGAATATTCAATTTATAACTAGAATGAAACTGAATTATCTTTTGTTCTTTTGGGTGTCAGTTCTGATTTATAGACAATAAAAACACACACAAAATCAAGGTAACCATATTTTTCAGACTGTAATGCATATGTTTAATTTTGAAATTGCTTGAAGCCATTCTGGAAAAACAGAATTTGTTGACTTCAGATATTTCAATATACTGGCTTATACGAAACTGTAGTTGAAGTTTAGAAAACTAACAAATCAGTTCTGCAAAGTACTCCAATCAATGACTGTTAAGCCACTTAGCATTTTCCTGATTCATTAAAAAATGGACCCAAATTCTTATTCTGTTAAAAATGGTTACAATGTTTCTAACAATGTATTACAATGTCTCGCCCAAACAAACTCAACCAACAATTCTCTCTCAGCTGATACAACGTTTTGTGGATTCAGCAAACTTTTCTTTCTGGCTTGATGCTAATGTGTATTTTACAGCATTTTTTCCTTGACAAGTCTTCACCCCTTTTTTTTTGAGAATGAATTATTTGCATGCACATACATCTTTGGTCAAGAAACACTGTTCTTGATGAGAATTATTTGTATATTAAGGACAATAAGGATTATTTGCTTGCATGCACACAGCTTCTATGAACATGACACTTGGCTGGTACTCTTGCTGGAGTTGTGCAATCCTCACTTTCCAACTTTGATGGAGTTCTGAAGCATCTACATCTCGTTGGTGATTAATTATTTTCCACGGACAAAATATTACAAGCCTCTTGTTACTCTAGTTCCATCAAAAGTGTTCTGACAAACGACATTTTTCAATTCTACCAGTTCAGACTATTTAAGCTAAAATCTGTCATGACACATACACAGGGTTGAATCATCTATATTCCCTTGAAGTAAGGAAGAATTTCCCTTCCAATGAGCCACTGCTTTGTGAAGCAGACTCCCAAGAGGGTGCTTTCATGATCATGAGAGTCTTAACCTCTTCGAGTCTAGGATCAGTTGTTTCCTATCCAACATATCCTCATAATCTGAATTTCTTACTTCCTCTTCTTATATCCATAAAACAACCTCATTCATTAACCCTATACAAGTCACAAGAGCCACTCAATGTAGAGGGTTAGTGATTGTTTGTTGTAAGGGTATAAGTTGGGGGGCGGTGAAAGTAAGATGCGCATATTATTTAGAATAGATATCAGTTGGCTCTAGACATTGGCACACAGCTGAGAAATATGGAGGTAGCTGGTCATGTTCACAGCTGCATATGACCATGCTCAGTCAAGGCACTGGTGATGATGATGGCAAGTTAAGTTAGTGCAGCAAGATAAGAATGAAAGCAATACAATATTTCTTTTGTGATAATCCATGATCTCTATTTTCCTTACAAAAACCTTTCTGGAAAATATACAGGAGTTTCAAAACAAAACTTGGCAGAAAATCATACATACTGTCTGGCAGGAAAGACAATAATTCAAGTTTAATTCTATATCAGTCTAATATCTTCTTATTGAAAAAAAATATAACTTTTTTTATGATTTTCTGAAATATATAAACTCTGAGTTTTGAATAAATACAGTTGAAAATAATTTATTTAAGCTTAACATAACATTTCTTACAACTACTTCTAAAACAATCAGAGAATTAATACAAAACAAAATCACAAAAACCTAAAACTTGAAGCACAAATTTACTCTATATGCTGTAATGATTGGCACAAGGAATACATAGGAGGGACCTCAAGGAATTTAAATAAAAGATTAATCGAACATAAAAGGGATCTTTTGCCAAACATTTCCTATTCCGAGCTGTTAATCATTACACCACCCCACATCCAGGATTACAGTACTTGGTTTCCCAAGCAGACACCCATCTAGGTACTGACCAGACTTGACATTGCTTAACTCTGGTGATCGTACAGGAACTGGTGATTCAATATGATATGGCTATAAGTCATACACCCCCACATATCCAAGCTTACAGCATCTGACATTCCTAAACTTTATCTATCTAGGTACTGACCAGGTATAATGTTGCTTAACTTCAGTGATTGTAAAGTGTTCACTGTTTCAACAAGATATTGCTGCAAACCCATTATTGATCAGAAAGAAGAGATAATGTTTCTATATAAAATCAATCAGGAAGTGTTTTCAGTTTTAATAAAAATACTCATCAATGAAGCAAAAAGAAGAATGAACCATTCTGACAAAACCAATGAATCAAATTATAATATTTTATCTACCAAATTTATCTCAACTACAATTGAAACATTTTATCCAATCCTGGCATAAAATTTGTTCCAACTACTTTTAAAAGAATAAAAGACTTCATACAAAACAATAATAATAAGGTAAAACTTGAAAGTCAAACTTACTCTATTTCCTGTAATAATTGCCACAAGTAATACAAAGGAGAAACCTCATGAAATTTAAACAAAATACTATAGGAACACAAAAAGGGATCTTTTACAAAACAACACATTCGATGCATTAATTGTTTACTGCAATCAGTCTGACCATAATTTTGATTTAAAAATGCTACTTTATTTAAAATAGAAAGCATTTCATTAAGGTGAAAATGTATAGAAAGTACACCGTTAAATCATTCAAGGTAAATTTGGATAAAGTTTCTTACTACATTTCACCTCTCTTGGCAGATTTTCTATTATCACTACTTAAAAACAAAAAATGATAAAAAAAAAAAACAAAGATAAACCAAAAGATAAGATCAAACATAGTGGAATACAAAGATCAAAGTTTGAAGAGTGTCCTGCTGAATATGTACAGAAAAACATGCTAAAGTGGCATTCAGAGCCACATCCACACAAGGATTGCACATATAAGCAATCTAAAGGAAATTTGGAAGAATATTATCTGTATTCACCATTTTGTGTGTTGTGTTAAAGATGTCATATGGTTTGTTGGTTGATTTTGTTTAGCAACATATCAGTCTATAATTATTTAATACTGAAATGTTCATATTTTGTACGTAATTTTATGCTTTCCACTATATTCAGGGTAAAAATATGCTTTTTTACAACTGTTAAAACTCTTCCCAGATATTTAAATTTTCATTTTTTTTGTTTTGTGGCCTATCAAACTTTATGGGTTATTTAAGGCAGAAATCTACATATTTTGGACACCATTTTATTGTTTCAACTACAGATAAAATATATTGCGGGTCATTTTGTCTTAAATATGTATTGTTGGTAATTTTACTATAAATATGTATTGTTTGTTGGTTGATTTTGTTTAGCAACATATCAGTCTCTATGATTATTTAATTTTTTAATATTTTGTAAATAATTTTATGCTTTCCACTACAGATATTTTTTTTTTACTATTGCATTGATTGTCATTTTGCTATAAAAATGTATTATTGATTATTTTTTTAGAAAAATGTACTGTTTCTGTTTGTTGGGGGAAGTGTTCACTATTTGCCAATAACTGGGACCCTAACAGGTGCTACCACCCAGGGTCAGGGTGGACTTGGGAACAACAGCAATTAAGAGATGGTTCCATGTTCCTTCAAACCTCCAATCTCCCAATCAGAGACATTGCTGCCGGATGTAGTTTATCGTCATACCCAAGGTGAATGTGTGGTTTGCAAAAGCAGACCTAGTTTAATCTCTCACAAAAGACACAATCATAAATTGTGGAGTAAAACAAAAAGTTAATTTTGGGGCCTTAAGTACTGGAAATGTTAGGAGAGTATATCATATACATATTAATATATACATTACGTCCACAAATATTCAAATACAAATTTATTCTGTTTCTGATATTTATATTATGATGATATTACAAGTATCCTCAAGCTAAACAAAACCTTATCTTGAACTGAATTTCTAACCTTTCATGTAAAATTTGAGCAAATTTATTCATTTGCCAAAAAGCTCGTCCTCCATTACATGGACTGAGTTGCAGCTGTAGGCTGTAGCATTCAGGTAGCACCTGCACTATAAATCTTATACAGCAATGTAACAGCTGAAAAATTGATATATCATCATCAAATTAATAATTTTCCTATCATTTGATGCTTATCTTTTGAACAGATATCACTTAGATTCCTCTTGTAAATTTTCTTGTCTTTTCCAATAAAGTTTCTTTTATTAATTTTTTATTTTATTTTTTTTTTTACAGTAAGGTTCACCCTATAAAAAAATCCCAGTGTGTATTTGTGTGCTTCTATCTATAAAATGGGGAGGAGCAAGTATTTTGAAGTCATTCCCAGAAAGACTGGAATCAACATTGAGCAATAGAAACTGGAGGAAAAAGATGCAACACTGATTTGGGAGCAAAGACAACAATGTTTCAATATCTACTTTGTTTGCATTCTCTGCAAGAATGTATAAAACATTTTTATTAATCATTTACCCTGAAGCATGATGCCACTAAGATATAAAGGGTTACTGGGAGTGACAAAAAAAAGATGAGAAGACTTTAGAAAGGAGAAAGGATAATAAAAGAACAATTTTCAGGAAAGACAGAAGATTGCATTTAAATTTTTGAAGATTGTAGGTGGCAGAGAAGCAACATTTTCACAAGCGAGAGGTGTGAGAAAAGAAGCTGTTAGGAGAGTGAGGATGGTTGCATCTAGCTAGTTCAACAATAAAACAGTGAGACCTAGTTGCCAATCTAGTAGCACACTTAAATTCATGCAGTCCAGGCACTAAGGAAAAAAGCTCATGAGAACAATTGCCATGAAAAGAAAACACAATGTTATGACGATGAGAAAATGAATGAAGTTGAGATGCCAGGTCAGGAGCGATTACATTAAAGACCCTTTTTGAATTTTGTCAAGAATCTTGAGATATATAGTATGAGTACCAGACCAGATATGGCAGCAATATTCAATAAACAGATGAATGGTAGATTTACAAATGTGCAAGATGGATTCTAACAAGAAAAATTGTCTGAGAAGTAGACCTAGTAATCAATTCAATGTAATCACTCCACTTTATGTCAGTGCAAAACATGAGCCCAAGATGGTTCATGGAGTTGCTCTCCTAGAGGTTAGCATCAGCCATACTGATGGCAAATTGTTATGAGTAGGTTTTTGTTTTAAAAAAATGAAAATTATTTTTGTTCTTCCAACTCCCCTCTAGGCATTTTGTTTTTTCTCTATTATAAATACATAGTGTTCTCTGGTTTCAGCTCCCCAGACCCCAAGCCACTTCATAGACTGTATCAATGAAAAAGGGACAGACATAGTAGCATCTATTCCCAGAGGTAGCGGGGATGAAGACATGTGGGGGAATTCATGCTAAGTATTCCACAACATGCAGTGTAACCCTGACCATGTAATCTGGGTGCTTGAAGCGTGTTTACATTTCAAAATTTTTGTGGCCCTCTAACAATTTCACACTGTTTTGGTCTTATATCCTAAACTTAGACAAAGGGAATCCACCACTGTCAGAACAGCATGCCCACAAGATATTCTGACCAATCACTCGCCATCCTGACCCAATCTTCACATTCTGTAACAAACGTTCGAATAATTATTGGTTTTAATGGCCAGATATCAGCAAGGTGACAATACAACAGTGACAGCAGAGGTAAACCATTGTTTTTTAAAATAAACTCCAGAGTTGACATTTCATCTCTGATGTAAAATAGAAAGAAAATATTCAGTTTATAAACAACAAATTTTATTGCTGTTAAAAGAAATTAAACACTGATTATTGGCTTTATTTTATTGTTATAACTGCTTTTGCTACTAGATTTTCAGAAATCATTGCAACAATTGCATATATAATAGCACAATAAATTCTGTGAGGTAAGGAAAATGAAAGAATAATGAAGGATTGCATTTACATTCTTCTTCTTTCAGGACATTGCTGATCATGGCTCTCCACAATTTCCTGTCCTTTATGGCTCTTAGTAAATTTTGTCTTTATGCTATTTCTCCTAAACCCTGTTCTACCAACCATTTAAATAAACTTATTAGGTTATGCATTGCTTTCTTTTGTCTCTCTTGCCTTCAAAATATATCCTCTGAGTGTCAAATTTTCCAAGCCCTCTTTCCTTATTAAGTACCCTTGAAATTCTCTCTTTCTGATGTTAAGTACAAGTCTCCTTTCCGTTTCTCTAAAACTTTGTTGTTGTTCACCTGTTCAGTTCATGGTATTTTCAGCATCTTTCTGTGGAACCAAATTTTTGTTGCTTCAGTTCTCTTCTTCATTAAAACTTAGTTCTACAGAAGGATGCTGAGAATAACATGGTCTGTTAGATCTGGTTTTGTAAGAAACAAAAAATAAGAGTTCTGAACTGCTATGTTATATCTATCCTCTTATATGAATGAATGCTGGATAATGTTGATTTCAATCCTGCTGGGAAAGACTGTAAATAACTTGCCCTCCCTATTTTATATGCAGAAGCACACAAATGCATGCAAGGATTTTTTCCTAGCTAATAAAATAAGCTGGTTCTTGGTTTTATCTAATTCAGTTCTGGTCTGTCAGAATGGTACATTTGCTTGTCTGAACTTGTTTTTGTGTGTCACCCCCAATTCTTAGTTTGTGAACTTTTTGCCATATTACTGTTGCTTTGCCTTATTATTGTTGATTTGCCTTATTATTGTTGCTTTGCCTTATTACTGTTAATTTGCCTTGCACATATTGTTTGCTTGCTTTATATTATTTTTTGCACTTTTCTTTTTTGTTTTTTTCTTTTTCTTGTAATCATTTATTGCAAACTTTGCCAATTCTGTTTGTTGGGAACTTCTGCCATTCATTTTTTTTTTCATTTAACCATGACTACCCACTCTCCTCATAAGCAAAATCAACTTCAGTCAACAGAGAAAATGGTTCTACAGAAGGATGTTGAGAGTGTCATGAATGGAACATATGCTGATTGTTTGATTTGTTTTTTATAGCTTATCAACCTTTTGTGGTTATTTAAACTGAAACACATTTTGAATTGTAAGAATAATTCTTTCTTGTGAGTA